CCGAAATCCGCGTAAAAAAAAACCGAGTAAAAAAAGACCGTGTAAGAAAAAACCGCGTAAAAAGCGATATACCGCGTAAATTCTGAAATCCGCGTAAAAAAAAACCAAAATCCGCGTAAAAAAAACCGCGTAAATTCCGGAATAAAAATTCCGGGTAAAAAAAACCGCGTAAATTCCGAAATCCGCGTAAAAAAAACCGCGTAAAAAAAACCGTGTAAAAAAAAAACCGCGTAAAAAGCGACTCCAGTGTATAGTGAAAAGTGCGATATTGATTGAATAATCTAGCATGTGACAAAAAGGTAAGTCCTTTAAATTCATGACATTATCAGATTTTTTGATGATCACAGCTCTGTAGATTTTCGTTAGTGCAATAATACGGCAAGATCATGGCGCCTAGAAATCGAAAATTAAGTCAATGTCACTAAACTTTTTCATTGAAAAAGAGCAAGAAATGTTCAAAATGTGTCCCATAAATAGGCAATAAATTTACAGATTACAATTTTTCAGCATAATTGTTATTAGTTTTTCATTACTTTTGTGTATTATTGCTGAATTAATGCACTGAAAATGTATTTTCGTTATTTCTCTGAAAACCGTTTCGTAAAAATGAATATCGTACATACAACACATCTTTCATAAATGGTACGAAACATTCGTTTTTCCTGTCATCTGGCGCAATGTCAATATTATGCCTTATTCGTATAATATACAAATACATCTTCGTACAATCAAACCAACAACTGCGCTTATTGTCTCCTAAAGTGCTGATTGTGTGTTGGAGATGGGATATTTTTTTTTAGAAATATTGTCGGTTTGACCAATACATGCAAGCTACCACAATAAATCAAATTACTCGTCGCGGTGGTTCTATGTTAGAGAAAGAAAATACATGCAAGCAGCAGAAAATGCAAGCGAAATCGATGTACCGCTCCATGAGTGCTTCTTATTTGCCTTTAGCTTTACCATTTCTCATAGCACAGATAGAGCGATGGGTACAACACAGATCCAACGATCGCAAGGTTCATGAGTCGAGTCCGACCTGAAACCTATTTTTATTTTTTTGTCATATTTATTCCTTCCAATGAAGAAGTTATTTTTACCCATCCACACTAACACACTCCACATTTTTCGGTTTCCACAACCAACACTTGTGGACCGCTGGTTGGGTGTGGCGATACCGAGTATGACAGTTCTAACGAAACTAGCTTCATACAATGTACATATCCATTTCGTTGCAGAAAACAACGAATAAATTCGTACAACAAACGAGCGATTTCGTTGTATAAACGAAATTTTATTTTCAGTGTGGGTTATTTGCTTGATAGGCCGAAGTGAGGGGCTAGGCTGACATTAGATCCCGTAATCCTATCTTAATTTTTACAAGAGCAAAGTCTACGCAGCAAAACAAAAACATGTCATTTTCGCAATATGGCCTACTTTGATCAATCCTACTTCAATTAGAATTGTAATTATTGAAAAACTGCGATCCAAATGCGATATTTTCAACTGCTCTTTGAAAAATCGTCAATGTTTACACCTCTTTATTGCGTGAAATCACACAAATTGACTATTTGAATATCATTCAGCTAAAATTTTAGTGAAGTTGCAGTGATGAATCAAGATTAAATCGCACAATCTGACACTTTATTAATCTACATCGAAATCTTTCCAAGTCCAAATAAACTTTTCTGAAGCGCATGATTTATCACTGGCAAACTCCATCATACTTCATGCTTATGTGGTGGAGAGGTATAAGTGCTGGTCTCTAGATACGAAGAAGGTAGGGGTTGCAAGAAGTGATTTTTAATGTTTTTTTTTCTTATATATATACAGGGTGTTCGGTTCCTTAGTGCAAATAATTTAAGGAGCGATTGAAGATCATATTTGAAGTAAAACATTGTTCTACGCATATGATCAAAACTCAAAGATTACTGAGTTATTGAACTTTTTCTGTTTTGGTCCATGCTTGCCATAAATTGGCTCTTACTCGAAAACTATGCCATTGATCACAAAACTCTTGCCTCCATTGGACATCTTTGCAAATTTTCTACTTAATAGTGTCATTTCTACTTTAAGTAAGCTGCATTTAGACACATTGATAAATGAGTCTAAAGTTTGTGTTTTCCTACGGGTTTTCTCTTATTATTTAAAAAAATACGTAATAAAGTGTACTGTTTTGTCAAACCAAAAGATGCCTCTCATAGCGTTCTACAACTCTCTCTTTGACACCAATTTTCTATCTTGTTTGGTTTTGTCGCAATTTCGTACTAAACACATCATGTTGGGTCGTTAATTATCGGTTGCGTTAAACACAATTCAACCCCACCGTGCGTTGCTGTTGACGTATATTTGCAATGCGCACAGCACACTTGATCGCCAGGCGGATGATGGTCTGATAAGTTCTAAGGCTGTGAACCATTTGCCGAGTTAAATTTAACTCGTAGTTAAAAGTGACATTTCGAAAGTTATTTCTTATGTTCGAAAATCCCCGTGCTGTCGATCGACCGGTTTTCGAGCCACGATCGTCAAAATTTAACTTCTTGTCTGTCAGAAATAACCACGCTCGGATAGCAGGGTTAATCGATAACTTTCCATGTGTCAAATTTTAACCAAAAGTTAAAATAATCCACCAAATGGTTCAGAGCCTAAATGGAATAGTTTTTGAGTAACAGCCAATTTATAGCAAACATGGAACAAAACAGAAAAAGTTCAATAACTCAGTAATCTCTGAGATTTGATCATATGCGTAGAACATTTTTTTACTTCAAATATGATCTTCTATCGCCCCTTAAATTATTTGCACTAAGGAACCGAACACCCTGTATACCAGCTGAGCGGGCCCGGCCTTGCTCGGGATTAAATATTAGCTTGAGTTTATGCGCCGATTCAAAAAAGCATGATATATTTTTCTATTTTATATTAATGGAAGTCCTCCCCCCACCCTCAGAGAGGGAGGGCTCTCGAATTATCATAAAAACCTTTCCTGGCCCCAAAAACCCCTGCATACAAATTTTCACGCCGATCGATTCAGTAGTTGCCGAGTCTTTGGATCAGACAGACAGACAGAAATTCATTTTTATATAGATAGAAGTATATATACATATTTTATATAAGAGTTTATATAAGAATCTCATTTCCCAAAGTTTGGATTTTAAAAAGATTTGTCAACAGAATTAATATTAGAAATTTGGAGGGCAGTTCCAGGCCAAATTGCTAAACATATTTTATATTTTATCGCTCCGATTTCCATTAAACTTCGGCTAATTGTAACTTGATTTGAATAAAATTTGTGCCAGAATTCTACTATATTCACTATCGCCTAATGGAGTATTTTATATTTTTGAATAACTCATAGCACGAAAACTGACAAAGTTATAGGAAACTGGAAACGCACTGAAAAATAATCACAAATTTTCGTCAAAAATTAAAAAAAAAACACTTAAATAACACAAAAGTTAATTTTATTAAATTTGAAAATTTATCAAAATGCTAACTTTTCTGAAATGGACACAATGGACACTTAAAATTTTCCAAAATCGTAGAAATTCAACGTTTAGTCAATTTTTTTTTTAATTTTTACCCTGGCCTCTTGTTAAGCTTTATAGAATTCTGAAAGGTAAATTCTATAATTTGTATAAATTTTTGCTAATTGACCTCGAAATGCTCAAGATCATTATGATCAAAAAATTTAAATGTTTTTTTGTTTTAGGATACACATTTTTATAAATTATTTTTTCATAATTCTATCTCCATTCATAAACAGGGTTTATTATTATTTCAGAATAAATAGCAGCCTTTGAAAAATATTTTATCAAAATTCTAACCTTAAGGATTCCTGTTGGCATTGAAGTATTTCTGTTTTCTTCAATTCAAATTCTCCAATTTCAACAGCCACAACAGCTACATCCAAGCATCAAATTAATTTCACCATCTTCCCTCTTCAATCATTCCTTGTGTGCGAAGACCTCTGGCCTACAAATTTCTCATCTCCCTATTCATTTTTTTTTCACCGCTGACTGACCGGATGGAGGTGGCGTAGGTGTAAATGAACGTGTTGAATCAATTACTCTTATTCCAGCAACAAGGTTGCTCTTCGAGTGAAGATCGCTGACCCAAGCCCAGGCAACCTGGCCGTTACCTTTGTAGTAGCAGTTTGGCTTTTAACCTGCCTGTTTCAGGTCAAAGACAGAGCGCATAGGTACCTATGGATGCCGATTGGTGCAGGTCTCAGCGGGCGCTAATAGCTTCATATTCTTTTTTTTAAGTTCGAACTAATTGTTATGGACCCTGCTGTAGTGCTCTGAGCAGCTCGGAGAGCATCAAATTGCTCCTCTATACAGTCTATAATTTGATTACCTCCCTAGAAATGATCATTTTTCACATTTACCCCATCCAGAAACCGGTTCATCGGCCAGTCCAAAAGTTCAAGATTGACTCATTACCTGGGGCCTGATGTGGAGCTTTTGTTGCGGTTCTGAAGTGGTCCTCCAGTCCTTCTCGGTACGAGTGCCAGCGCTCGTTTAGTGCCTAGTGCTAGGGTGTTGCAAACCTATGGCGAATCCAACATTCATGTGGATGGCGATAATGTTTGGCTCGGTAAATCATCGGTCATGGATTAAGTTAATCTCGTTCGGAACAGTTTCCAGATTATCTGCGATTAATTTAATTTTGAGCCACCCTAAGCCCCCATACAAACGCTGCTATTCGGTTGAGTTGTCATTTGTGCACCGAGCACAGATCAAAGATCGAATGCAGGCAAAAAAGTAAGGCATAAAAACAACCATAAAACTTCGCGAGTTGAAAGAGCAAACCGTGTCTGGTCGTCTCAGTACCAGTCCAGTTGAGTCGAGTCGACAGCTCCGAGGATGCAGGGGAAAAAAAAACAACATGGTACAAATACAGTGCAATTTTTCTTGCACCAAGAGAGACAGCATTTACTTTTTATTGGAAGATAAAGCAAACAGGGTTGCAAAAATTACAGGTTTGAAGGATACACTTACTTTCTGGCTGGGTTTGTTAAAGTTACGTAACCCGGCGGGTGTACGATGTCCGCCGATGATTCGCCGGACTTGTTGAAGGCTTTTTATCGGTCCCAGTTCGGTGCAGGTCGAAGGTCCCGCTAACTAATCCTTCTAGCTTGCACGCACTTCCAATGCTACTTTCAATCGATCAATCGATTCTCTTCTCACCGCTTTCACTTCAATGATCACTAAACTGCTTCTTCCTTGCTATCAACTTTGGGCACTGAAATTTCCAATTCACCTAACAATGCCAATTTTCATTCTTCTTCTCCACTGAAAGATAAAACCAAGAATAGTAATCGCTTAGATTTAGATATCAACGCAGAACAAAAAAAAAGCACATTCCAGTCGACTTCACACCAATATCCAACCAAATGGAGCCCCCTTTCTTCCGATCCCGAAATTCCACAGTAAATTTTTTTCCCGTTCAGATAACTAAATGAAGCAGACCGAAATCGCACCAGTCAAAAGAAGGAAAATATCGACTTCTGCGCAAATAAAAAAAATAAAGAACAGAAAAAAACCGCGATCCCACTTCGAAGCGGGTCCCTACGGAGGATCGATGGGTGGTCAAGTGAACGACATTCGGTCGCGGTCCGAACGAGAAGAGCAAACTTACATTAGCCACCACCTAGCACACTGCAAGACACACACGCGAATCAGGCCGCAGCGCGAAACATACTGACGGGGCCGCCGTTGTGTGCTGGTTGGCTGCTGGCGGTTGCTGGTGACTTCAACTCTTCCACAGACGGGAATACCTTGAATCGCTCGTTTCGGTTATTGTTGCCTCTGAGCGAGCGAATGCAGTGTGGCTCGGGCAAGCCCGCTTCCTCCGTGCATGCGAACGGGGTACGAAGTTGGATGGGCTGTGGACGTACGGCGCACGGGTTGGGAGTAGAGCTAATCGAACAGGTTTGCCGTTTGCGAGAGTGTATGCGATGATGGCCTTTCCGACAATGTGGGTTGAGTTTGTATCGGTATGTTTGTGCTGTTATGAAAATGATGATGATGATGGTTTTGAAGATCGTGTTGATGTTTTTAACTTACTTGTATGTTGCATGTTTCGATGCTTGGTGTTTGTGAGGGGTTTTTTTTTGCTTACTGTCAATAAGATATAAAGGGATGCTCAAAAGGGTAAACAATTGTGCATCACGTGACTGATTGGAACGAAAAAAATGTAATAACATCAATTTTGCTGAAATCAGTTGAAAATCAGCTGAAATGTTCAGTAAATCATTGTGTGCATTTGTGCATTTTTACTGAACATTTCAGCTGATTTCATGGTACTTATTAACCTTTCTACAGCAGCTTTTCCGATGAAATATGGTACAATTACACTTCAAAATGGTGCAAAGCGGTGCATACTAAGGAGCATTTTCAAATGCTTAATGTACAGTTTGCTCCATTTTAGGGAGCGTACTTTAAATATTTACTGAGCATTTTAAGATTTTCAACGTATTTTGATCAATCATTTAAGGAGCAACCCGATCTATTTTAAGGAGATTTTTTTTACTTATTAAGGAACATCGTCATTGTTTAATGATTCATTTGCCTTTTTACCATTTCAGCTACGTGCATTCACAAAAACCTTGATATGTTGGCTTGTGAAATTGTGAAGTGTAATGCGAAAACGGACGCTTAAATGATTCTTCTTGAACGAATCGCTTTTTTTTTACTTTTTGGAAAAGAATATTTGTTTCCATGTCTGGGGTTTGATCGATCATGGTGACGGGTTTTAAAAGTAATTCAATGTAGGGAATTTCAATTTTGTTGAATCGGTAATCTAGCAGTTTTAGCAAGTTAGAAGTGCTTGCATTATATTCTCATGAAAGTTGATTGTGAAATTCCGCCGATATTAATTATGGGCAAATCACCCACAATGCAGCTTATCAATGTCCAACTTACCCGTGCAGCAGCTTGAATCCAAATGACCTTTCACCAACTGTCAGGAAAAGTGTATGAAAGGTCATGACCTACCTAGTTATTATCCATCTCATATCTTCCCTCTCCTTTGGTATAAAAGTTTTAAATGTTTTTTTTAACAATAATTCATGTTAATGAATCACTGAATGCTGTCAGTTTTAATTTCACAAATATCATGGTGCCACCTACCTTTCTATTGGCATAATGTTAATACAAAAATGTATAGAGAGTTGATTTTATTTCCATATTTATATTTTTATTTTTTCGAGTTTTTTTAAGCGTAATCAGAGAAAACAATATTTTGTAGTTGTGTTCCGCAAAAAATGTGTTGAACCACCAGTGACAATTTTCACATTGAAACGTGAATTTCCAATTTTGTAATATAAGCAAAAACAAATAGCCGTATATTTTTCAAGCGACAGCGGTAGAATTAAAACTCACTTTGACAACGTTAATCGACTGGAGATTTTCACTATTGAGATTGTTTGTTTACATTTAGCAAGTACTCATGGATGGTTAAACGAGCTATATCTGACTATATTGCATAGTATATACGAGGGTAATCACTGTGCCTGTCCTGTTAAAAAGTAAAACGTGCATCAAATAACACGAATGTGAGGTTTTCTTTGTACAACATTAATTCCTCTTGCTTTAACGATGATAAGATTGGTAAGCGCGAGATCGTCGGCCACTGTTGGAACTGTTAGCCAGTATACGCTGACCGTTGCCAACCATTAAGTTCAACTCCTCCACGAGAAGGAGAAGGGTGAGTGATGGCAGAAGCTGTCCATCCAGGACAAGAAATTTCTTTACCGTGTATCATTCTGGTAGACGTTTGCCGAAACCTATACTTATGACCCACCCGGCAAGTGGAAAATGTACCTCTACATTATCATCATGGTACTCGGGCAATGCTACAACCTAGAAATCAAGAAGGATTCGACCTAAAATTTCCACTGGCGATAGTAGAAGCAGCAATAGACCTTCCGTTACTTCCTAGTGTTAGCCTTAACTTTTGGGTACTGAATTCATCTATGTTTGCTAAACATGTTTTGGTGGGAGAGTCAATCGACTGCGTCCATGGTTTTGAACTTTTGAGTAGCCTAATAAATAAACAAGAGATCCTGGAAATCACTGAGATTGTTCAATAACAACACAAAAATAAATAGTGCTGCTCTTCTTCATTCTCATAGCTCTCAACTATTTACTTTTAATCCGTTTATCCTCATCGTCCATCAAATAATTTCCAGCAGCATGCAAATGCGTATCTAGGATCTAGATACCAGTTGTCAACGTTTCATTACTACCTTCTCTTTGTATTTGCTTGTTGTTCCTTCATAACTTTCATCCTTACTTGGTTTTGCCGGAATTGCATACTTATCCCCTACTGGCGGTTCCGATTGCGTTTATAAATGGCTCCGTCGAGGGCTCCGTTACCTCCGGTGTGGTTACCTTCACAATTCTGTTAGCAGCATTGAGAAGGACTCACTCGTTTTCTCAGAACGGCCGTACCGGTCGCGTTCTCTCCTGTGGCTTTTCTACGGCGAGGAGACGATTTTTCCAAATCCGTCCTCACTTTCATTCAGAACGGCCGTCGCGGTCGCGTTCTTATCCTGTGGCAGTGCCACCACGAGGTGACGATTATTTTTCAAATCCATCCTCACTCGTTTTTTCAGCACGGCCGTCCCGGTTGCGTTCCCTCTTGTGCCTTTGCCACGGCGAGGAGACGATTTTTGAAAATACATCCTCACTCGCTTGCATAACGGCGTTCAGAAGCTTATCAATGTCAAACTTAACCGTGCAACAGCTTGAATCCAAATGACCTTTCACCAACTGTCAGGAAAAGTGTATGAAAGGTCATGACCTACCTAGTTATTATCTATCTCATACTGATAAAAATATCTAAAAGAGGAATCCATATAAATAAAGAAAAACGCTTCACAAAAAAACATCCAAATGATCGATAAGACCCTGATGACCTTTTTTTTCCAAGAAATAGAAAATTGTTTTACATTAACAATTAAAGAACAAACTATGCCAAAATCGGCCTTTAAATAGAAATGATGTCTCGTTATAACGCATATTTCGAAACAATTGATGTAACCAAGAATAAAAGTACGCTTAAAATGATTTTGTTTTCGAGGTTAGCAAGGTAAAGAGGTAGTAAAGATAGATGTGAAGTGTTTATTGTAACTGAAATGGGCTAGGTTTGATTGAAAGCGAATAAATAAATAAATTTACCTGTGGTGTCACCCTCCTTACTCATGGAGCAGAAAAGCACGACTATCAGTCCTGTAATGAATAATCCAAACGTGCATCCGTGTGACCAGTATGCCGTAATTTAAATCTAACTGCTTCGATCCTAATGTGGCACTCTTGCGTGGGGTGTTGACTTCCATGCGACTCAAAAAATTATATTAGAATTCTAAAACAAGATCGATAAAGATTGAAAAAAGTATTCAGAACAACATTTTCCACATCTGTACATGTTATGACAGCACCAAGGAAGTGGTCATTTTCTAACTTGATCATATTTTGAGCATGAGCATGATTGACAGCCCACGGCTACTACTCCACTGTTACCAGATCACCTAAAATAACTCAGAATACCGACAGATTATGCTTGGGACTAGCAATCATCCTCAATAAGTAAAAATTGGTGATTTTAAACTTTATAATAGACAATACCACCGCCAGCCACAACAACGAATACAGAACAATTTGCAGGAATAGGACGTGATACTCGTTTGGTTGGAAGCCGAGAAATCCTCTCCACATCCAAAAATCAATGTAAGTGATGTGTTCATGTTAAACTAGAAAGCGAGTTACGAGTCTTGAATGTGAATAAAGGGCCACCCACATTAGATCCGTTTGCGTTGCGTTGACGTCAATTGGACAGTTAGAAAATAGATTTAGCTGTCACTTTGCCGCTACGCGTCCGATCCGGATCTAATGTGCGTGGGTCTTAAGTTTGTGATTAAACCCTTGATGTTCTGCTCAGTAAGCAAAATCGGTCACTCCAAGGCCACCAAGCCTCTCATATCACATAACTCCATTTATGACATTCAAGTCCGACGATGGTGCCCCTTGCACCAGAATATATCAGTACGACCGACGATATTTCAAACTCAGATGCACGAAGTTACGAAAAAGCACTTGAAACTTAACTGCATGCTACTTTTAGTGATGTACATTGTTTTTATTTGGTCCTTACGTAGTATGGGAATAAAATTGTTAATGCCTCAAAGTTTTTTTTCTGCTATTTTATACAAGTTAAACTAAATTTGGTTACTATCTACCCTAATAAAAATAACCATAAAAGAGAGCTGGACGACGTATTCGAGGTATCATCCAAACCATTTGAGGGATAGTTTACCCATCCGGGATACAGTTCATTTATGGTATTTGTTTATAAGGGTAAGATTACCGGATCAAAACTAAATAGGGAATGTCAAACAAAAACTTGCTCAAAAAATTATATTTGTAGTAAACTTTTCCCAAAACAGCGAAATAAATAAAGTCTAAAGCCAAAGCTGATTACTCGATCATGATCGTGGTTAATAATGTTTCTCCCGAATAGACGAATTAAGGTAATTTAGCCAGCTATGGCACTACCCGAGGAAAGTCCAGCATCAAAATGACAGCAAATCGAAATCAAATTTAAATGTAAACATCAAACTGAAATCAAATCAAAGCAATTGACAAATCTTCAAAAATATATTGGTGCTGTTTTGTTTTCATTGTCTTAGCAGAACACCAAATTGAATACTTGTTTTGTCAACAACAGGAAAAATGTACATCAAATTGAGTTTTCACTTTGCAATTACTGATAGCAGAATTAGTTTTCAATGTG